CTCATTTCTAACCGAGATCTAAATAATTTCGTCTTTAATTTTATTTGTGATACTGATGATGATTTGTGACCTAATACTGCGCTAGTGTTGAGTTTCACGTTAAAATTTAAAGATAATAGATCTGGATCTACTTTTTAATTTATACAGGAAAAGGAAAGAATATTGATGTTCTGACGTTTAAAATATTTGCGCGTTTTTATTATTCGATGTTTCATGTTATAAAGAAAATCTCAGACGACGTAGAGATCTCAAAGATAAAGTGGAGATCGATCCGGATTTTTTCTGAGAATAAAAACGATTAACATATACGATGATATTATATATATCATGCGGATATGACATAAAGTGCCTTGAATAATTCACGATGCTTTCTTCTTTGTCGCGATACATTCAAGCGACGCGTGCCTAAGTAAAGGAATAAAATGGGATTTAATCGACCGCATGACAAATGTAGCCCGCATTAAATTATACGTATCTATTATTGTAGCGCGGCAGAGACTTCTCGCGTGTAACTAATTCATTACTCTCAATTCCCTAATGAGATTACTCGAAGTAGTCCGTGCGCAGTAATGTATAACTAATTTTGCCGGTATAAACGCGGAACGTCGAGCAAGTCCCGTGCGTATTCTTAATCACGAGTCTCTTTCTTAGCGAATCACTTCGTAACGTAGCTCGCACGTTTCAGTAATGAGAGATCGGGATTAGGCGTTTAATAATAACGCGTTGATAAATTAAACGACGCTCTTCGGAAAACCGCCGTGGCGAGCGTTTTAACCCGTCGGCCGCCCACGGATTTAATATTGTTAGAATATTCACCGACGCGGAGCGAGCTTCAGACGCATTCGCATATTCAAGTATCGAAAAATTTGTGCGATGGCCTACATCTGGGAATTTCCCACCGCGTGAAAAAATTCTTGTCGACCGTACGGCTTTATGAAAAACTTCAATCATTTCTTCGTGTATTCAAGACTTAGCAAGATATCGAAATATATTCTGAAATAGATCAAAATGTATTTTGGTATCGCTAACTCAAAAACACGCAAGTGAGAATCAAGCGAAAATGTATGATAATTTTTCGAAGATTGGAGATCGATGAAGAGTTTTTAGTGACGATATTAAGGGTCGATGTTACTTACATAAGCTTACTATTATTTAGTAAACATACTTCTCTATAACTATATTTAACTATCTAAATAATAAATGTTAATTTTAAACGAAATTAAGACGAAAATACACGCAATAAACACGGAGATATTATTCATTTCTTATTTTTTTTATCAGTGTTTTATTTATACGTTAGTTGAACTAAAAGAGGTACGCATATAATAGAAAGTAGTATATGAATATTTAAATATGTATATATGTACATATATATTACGAGTATTATTATAAATTATAAATTTCTTATGGTTATGTTTTCAAAACGAAATGGCCAATTATTCTAAAATTCGTATATAATGTCTCTATATTATTTTTTAATATCACAGTAGTTTTTCATAAAAATCTTAGCTCTCCGTCAGCAATGTTTAATTTAGCATTTTCCATGGGCAATCTACATCGTTGAGGGACAATGTATGTTTTTATACCGTTCCGGATTGTATAAAATTCTGAAAAATTCACGTATGCTTGTGAAAGCTTTAATAACAAGTTTTTACAATCGTAGAAGTCGGATTGCATTTTACTTATTTTTTACAGATTGAAATCAGAGCAGAAACATCGAAAAAACGGGATTTCAGATAAAAATTCATAACTTTTATATGAATGAAAGAAAAAAACAATCCTTTTATACAGGATACTTGAAGGTATGGAAAAAAATAGTGTAATGTTGTTGGCTCCAAAAAGTTGAATTAATTGAACATCTAAAAATAAAGATTCTTGTGAAAAAGAAAATAAGGTTTCATTCGAGAAAAAAAAATAAAATCATTTTTGTAGCGAACTGATTATTAAATTCAGCCTATCTTTATCAAAATTAATATATATATGAAAAATAACTTCACAGATATATAAATAGTATTTCCTTCAATGTGCAGCTAAAATTATTTTTTTTTTTATTTAAAATTAAAAAAAAATAGTTTAACGCGGACCAACTACTTTAATACAACCAAGAATCATCGCGAAATGTGTGCAAAGTGAGATATTTTATTTTCTAAATTTCGGTTCTCATTTGTAAAGTTTCCCGACAAGTTATCGCAACCTTTCGGCCCTAACAGCCCTTCTCACGGATAAAAAAAACAGCGCTGTGAAATAAAACATGACGTGGTATGAAACAATTGATGGGCTGCTCTCTCGGCTTTTGCCGATATGGAAAAATAGCAATATCTCCCGTGGGTCCTCGATGATGAAAATTTCTCGACACGTCGCAACCGCAGATAATCAACGTACGGATGAAAATCGGACACCGACTTCATTTCCGGGTCGACCACGTATCCTCGTTCGTGGAACATTCACGTAACATGGAACACACTTTCGTTCGTATCCCCGTATCACAATCCGTAGAAGGCAAATACATGTGCAACGTAACCGCAGATTCCGAACGATTTTCTGCACTTCGGCGATTGAACTATCGTCAAACGTTGAGAAAAACGGCGAGAAATACCTCGCCGTTCGTTCGCACGACGAATATGCTGCACAGCCTCGTATATACTGTACCATTTCCTAGATTGAAATTTTCTACTATCTACACCATTTGTAATCCTCCACATGTACATATAAAGTCGGAACTATCATAATTAGAGCCATTCTAATCCTATCATTATAATTCGAGTTACTTTTGCGATTTTCAAAAAGGAAAAATATTAAAAAAACTTCTTTGATTTAATGGAACAATATTTAATATATAGTGAAATAAATTTATATTATTTAATTAATTTATAATATTTAATATATTATTTCCTCTAAATAATATTGTTTTTTCGCAAGATTAACTTATTCAACCAGAACGCGTTCGATTGTCCATCATCGAGTAGATCCAACTCATTTTTCAACGTAGAATCGCCAAATTAGCGATCTATTTATCTCCGAAACGCGTGAACCTTTAATCAGTCAGGGTATTCGATCGTTTCCCTTCGTCGACAACCAGAGTAATTTCCGAAATATGGAAACCCATATTCGTCGGACGCGCATTATCAAATATCCCGCATTAGGGAAATGAGATTCCGAGTAGTGGAACGCGAGTGAAACTTTAATCGAAGGATTAATTCAAATTCGAAATCGTCCTTTCCCCGGCCAACTCCGCCGAAGATTGTTGAACTCCACGGGAATCAGTAATATCGTAATCGGATGAGAGGAATGATATTAATCGAATTTAATCGCGATTTCGTCAGAAACTTCGGACACCGTTGCCATGCATAAATCGTATCTTCACCAGGCGCTGTTTCATAATTCCGAAAAAAATCGATGCGCAGACGAACTAAAATAAGAGTCCCCCTCCCCTCTCTCTATCTCTATCTATCTATCTATCTATCTCTCTCTCTCTCTCGTACGCAGGTGCATTGGACGAGTGAACGAACGAACAAATGAACGAACGAATGAACGGAGAGACAGGCAGCCGCGCGAAGACCGTGCAAGCATGTCATTTACACGTCCGCCGCATTTTCGAAACAGCGGGAATGCGGCTTAATTAACCTGTCAGTCTGTGTGCGCAGTGTCCAACAGTTATGCGGACTTTAGGCGCTTTTCTGATTCCAACGTGTGAGTCTCGCGTACGCTGTAGATTAATGCGACGCGCATACACAAATGTGTTCCGGACGTGAACTTCGCCATTAGTTTAACTCGTATCCGAACATTCGACTCATCGTTGAGAAAAATTACGGTATTGGTATCACATGAATCGACAATAGATAACTTAAAGACCGTAAAAGATATCGTGAAAGTTACTCAAGAAAGATTTTCTTCACGTTGCTTTACCGAGTCACTGGACCGTACGCTATTAGTTCAGTTGAGCAACTTCGAATATTGAAGTTTTCAATTACTTCTCCAGTTCGCAAATCTTATCATGAAAAGGAGAGGATTGAAATATTCAATGAGTAAAGCAGTTACTAAATTTTTTAACTTTTTTGTGACTTGTAAAGCCTCGTATATGCAAGAACATCTGATGCAAGCCGTACTATATATTACGTACTTGTAGTTAAGATCGATGTGAACAGAAAAGTCCTCTAACACTTTGCAAACAATCACGTAAGATTTTGAATTATTAATGGTTGAAAATAGCCATGTATACAGGCTTCTTTTATTAGTAAGACCTTTTTGTTTACATTTACCTAAACTACAAGCATGTGACGTTAATGTTGTCGTTAAGCCGAGAGGACCGGTAACGGCGGGAGAGTTCTCCGATCATCCAAAATGAACTCTCGAATTCGCAGCGTAATCCTATTATCGAACAAGCATTCTCAACCACGCACCGTGGAAATGGGGTTCTGTGAGGCCGATGCGCGTTTCTCTCCTACGCAAACGCGTATAATTGCGCAGCGAAACGCAATAGTTGACGACGAGTTGACCGGCATGAACGGGTTAATGCAATCGCCATTCTATCGGGAACGTGCGTCTCAATTAGCCCTTCGGACTAATTGAGCCAGAAAATATTTTCAAGCGAAAACACGAGGTCGATCTTCTGATGTCGACACTTCTTTCTTCCTCTCTCTCTCTCTCTCTTTCTCACTCACTATCTCTTTCTCTCACTCTCGTTTAATCGTTAAATTAAAACTTAGCGGAAAAGAGAGATTATTTCATTACGCGTACTGGCGCGCGCAGCTCCTTCGCCGACTCGGTGAAAGTAGGGGAAAAGCACAAAGACCGACACGACATTTTGTTTTTCAGGTTTGTATGTATCCTGAAATTGCATAATCCGCCCATTTTCTTTGTAGAATTTTTGAAAATTACTACATATTGTCGTGCAAATAACTACTTTTGAAGAAGTTGGAGAAATGACGCTTCGAGAAAGTAGATCTCAAAATTGACACGTTCACCTACCAGGAAAATTCTCAAATAATGATACAAAAGCATTGAAATTACAGTATTTTGTACTTTTATCACTCATCCTTACACGTTATCCTTAATCTTACGTATTTTTTATGTGGATCCTCTGGCTTTTTCTTTACAACCATCTTAAACAAATCTTCGGTACTTTTCCTCGAATCCTCCGTGGCGTAGAGAGAAAAATGGGAAAATTGAAGGCCGATAGGTGAAGGTTCAAGATTGTGTCTCGAGCTTATATACCTCTGATTCTCTCGCGGAAGCACTCGGAGTTTCCGTACTTCCGGCTAATCCCGAGTTCGGAGTTCTCCGGAGCTTCGAATTGAATCGCGTATTAATCTCCCCTTGAAACTCGGAACGGCTCTTGGCCATATATCCGTATCCTTATCCGTCGCGATACAATGCACGGTGTATTCGAGAGCATTATCCGGCCCATCGAGCGCACCGCGATTGATTTCGTTTTCGACCGGAGAATGATCGAGGCTCTCCACATTGCGCCTCGAAGCACACAGGATGTAGCAGCTGCAGCGGCAACTTATCAATAATCGATAGCGGCGTGTGCACTTATTTTATGCGCTCTTTCACTGCGATGCCGCGCCGTAGAAACAGAGAAGCCACATTGTGCGGTGTGTCCCAATAATGTGCCGTGTGTCGTATCGGTTATCGCTTAAATTTCATTAGGCCAATATCGCGTAACAGATGAGTCACTGAGAAGCAACACCCTTAATGATGATATATTCGGGATTAAATTGTAAATAATTTCCGAGAGAAGTAAAAAAAGGTAGCGAATATTCCTTTCTTTCTTGGAACACACCTCCAAGCGGGAATACGAAAGCTGGCCGCAGAATAAGACCACGTTGTTATTATGTGCAACCACGAAAATATACTAGATAAGGTATATAAATATAATCCATATATAAATGTCTAGTATTTTTCGCCTGTTACAATGTTAATAAAATCGTCTGTATGTCGAGAATTGAGCCAAACTGATTTGTAATATATAATATCTAAACTTTTTTATTTAGAATTATCTCTAGAGCACATTCGAGAAATTTGTCGGTTTCCTCGCGGAACATCTTGTATATTAGGTTTTATCTCAAGATATTTTACACGATACTTCAAAGATCTAAAGAAAGAATATGAGAGAATCGATTTCCGATTCAACACGATATCACTCTTCCTTCGCGTTCCAGTCGCAAAACAAGAAAAAAACGGAGCGATCGGAGAGAGAGAGAGAGAGAGAGAGAGAGAGAGCTGAAGAAAATAAAGTGTAATGTTCTCGATTTATTAATCGTACTTGAGAAAATGAAATTATAAGTATTAAAATGTACACAGAGGCTATATAGCCTATATTGCTTAATTTATATTCCAAAACACTCGGATTACGACACGCATACATAGATTCACACTCGTACTCATACACACACACACACACGCGCGCGCGCGCGCACTAAGACTCGGATAAGATGTCTTCTAGGGTTTTGTCGTCGTGAAGCGGCGAATGTCCCAGCGTGGGGTCGCTCTCCAGGAACTCACGTAGCTCGGACTCGAGGTCGGTCACGCCGGACGGCTCCGTCGCACTCAGCAGAGACGGCGGTGTTTGGCTGTGCGTCATGCCGATCTGTATCTGGATCGGCGGCTGGTTCGCCCCGCCGACGATACCGATATTTTGACTCTGCTGGCCGGTCGGGCTGAGCAGATTCGCGCTCTGTATCGGCGACGGCGTCGCCGGTATCAGATTGGACAGCACCTGACCGTTGCTCGGTGGTAGCAACGAACTGTCGGCGACGATCGTAGGGTTGTGTGTGATCGGCTCGACCTCCATGGGCTCTGGCCCGCCTCCCAAGGGTGCGATGCCCATCGCTCTTCGCAGACCGTCGACAGGCGCTATCGCGGATGGTGGCAGTTTCTTCGCGATGTCGGTGAGATTGTCGGTGATCTTCTCGGCCAACATTACTTCGGCCTCCGCCGCCTTCGAAACATTAGACAGGTGCGCCGGCGGTGGCGCCGACAGACGCTCGTGCTGAACTTGCTTCAGCCGACCCAGCATCTGCGAAGTGTCGTCCAGACGGCTCTGAAGAGCGGCTCGTTCTTCGCTGTACTTCAGTTCTTCTTCTGCAAATACGTTATTAAGAATGGTTAATTCGATACGTCGATACGACATCGCGCTGGTATCAGCACGGAAGATACTCGAGTAATGAAAATTTTGAACGCGAGTTGAGCGCATTGTTGTAGATAGATTAGTAAAAAGATACTGACCGTTTAGTTTATCTACACTCGGAGAAGTGTCTTGTAATAGCTGCTAAATCTCATTAGCTAGTTCGAACTTTGATGCCATTGTTAAAAGTTAGTTATTAGAAGTAAAATGCATTTGCTGCGAGGCACGATTTTATTAGCTGAAATATTAGCATGAGTAACTATGGTTGGTCAGTTATGCTCTCTTTTTCTCTCTTTTCCTCTGATTATACCATGTATTGATAGCTCCTATCGTGGCTAATTCGTTCTCTGAGCGGAGTGAGCTTAAAGTAAACCTCACTAGAGCGACGCTTACCTAAATTCTCCAAGAAGTTGACGTCGATGCCGAGCTCCGAGAGCGTCTTCAACTGCTCGATGTCCACCTTGACCTTCTCCAATAACGGAATGTTGCGATTCACATCCTGATTAGGCTTTTCCAGCAGGTGCTGAATCTTCTCCTCCTCCTCCTTCAATCTTCGTTTCTCTTCGAGGAACTTCTTGGTTTTCCTATGATCACCGGCCGTAAGAATGTCCAGCAGATCGTCGACCATGGTCAACGTGTAGTCACAGTCCTTGGCGAAGTCCAAGATCGACTCCGCGTATTGCACCGCGGTCTCGTCGCCGTAAGTCTGATAGACGAGATCCGTCTCCTCCTTGGTGAGATTCGCGAACGTCGAGTCGTAACTGGGCGCGTAGGAGCCGAACGCGCCGTAATACAGTGGTTTCACCGGCTTCGACATGTTCCTGCGGTCCTCGCGGAATCCGGCCAACGCGCCCGTGCCGTGATTCAGCTTCCCTATCAACTGCCCCAGCGACACGGGCCTCTGATTGGTGCCCGGTATGATCCCGTCGCCGGGCACGATGATCTGCAGGCTGGTGGTGCCGTCCTTCTTTTGCCGAAGGAAACCCATCTTCGAGTTGACCCTCTTCAGACTCAGCTTCTCCGCCGCCGCTTTCGCGGCCCCTCTCGCCTGCTTCAGTATCTCCTCCGGCGTCAAGTCGTCCGGTATCGCCTCGAACTTGCCTAAATTAGCTAATCTCATCTTCCTCTGATTCTCTTTCCTGAGCTCCTCGGCTTCCTCGTTACGCTCTTCTTGTTCGCGCTCCCGCTCGATTTGCTCCTCCGTTACCGGGGCATCCGGATTGTTGGGATCCTCAATACCCAATTCGAAGCCGAGCTCTTCCTTCGAGATGTCGTGCATGTACGTCAAGACCGGCCTGAGCTGTCGCAACTTTTCCGGCAGGACCATCTTCAGACCGACGTGCAGCAACTTCTTCGCCGCTTTGTAATAGATAGTGTCGGGATGATTGTAGGTCATGGCGTTGTCACACATGAGCTTGAAATCGTCCACGAACTCGTTCAGATTCTGATAGTTATTGTCGTCTATTTTCTGCTTGATGGTGCTGAAGTCCATGGGATTGGTGATGATCTGGGAGTAACCGGGCGCGATACTGTCCGTGACCGGCCAGGCAAAGAACTGCTGCGGGTCGCGCTTCTCCATCGATCTCAGAAGATGCTCCAGCAGTCTCTGAAGCGGCGTGCGCTCCGCAATCTTCCTGAGCACGCACGTTCTCGGCTCGCGATGCGGCGACAACGAGCTTATATTGCTGACACCAACCACTCGCAACTCGCCGCTGGACGGTGGTCTGGGGGGTAACAACTGGTGATTAGGGATCTTCTTCGGTGCCTCGACAAGGTTCTCGTCGGCATCGCCGACCGACTCCTGGCTCGACTCCTCCCTCCGTCTCTTCTTGTCCTTGTGATGGTGCTTGTGCCGTTTATCTTTCTTCTTCTTTTTCTTCTTGAGCTTCTTGTGCCCTATGTATCTGTCATATTCCGTGTCTCCTTGGGCAACCGAATAGTTGCCCAACTGTTGCTGATAATCCTGCGACAGCATCGTCGCCTGACTCGGTGACTCGCAACCGTGCTCAGGCGTTCCGCTACTGCCTCCTACCTTTAGAATTAATTTCAGGCCAGGCGGTTTGTCCGTCGTTGTGCCCCACTGACTCTCTGTCGAAGAAAGAGAAGCACGATTAGTCGTTTGCGCCGTCTCCATTTTTTCTTTCTTTCTTTCTTTTAAGCCGCGCACTAAAATCGTCGTCTATGGAAGCCATACACACGATCCGTAAATGTAAATGTGCCGCATGCAGCAATCAGGGGAATCTTGCGGAAAATTACGCACAGTGCAGAGATCAAGAATATAACGTATAGCAACACAAAAAATGTATAAACGTCAAATATTATAACGTGTGACTTGCGTGGGTTTTCGGATAGAGGTGCAAATCGTAAAACAAATTAAATCTACGGGACATTTATGAGACAGAGACAGAGAGAGAGAGAGAGAGAGAGAGAAACGGAAGTTGTATCGGCATTGATTTAAAGATGACTTTATTACAGGATAGTGACCTTGTTTTCACATTCAACAAACTGGAAGCGAGATGGAAGTAGCTCGACTCAAAGTAAACAAACCTTAATAGAAATATGCGGTAAAATAATTTCCATCGTTGCGTTAATCTCACTTAATCGGCGGGAATAATATCAGGGAGAGAGAGAGCAATCATTAAAATCGAAAAAATACCTCGCTAAGAGGCGAAGCGAAGCAATATGTGTGGCTCACGGTGCCACGGTACATAACAGCCAAAGGGGAGAAATCATGTGATTGAAGTGCAACAGGTATTGTATGAGTTTGTAGCTGTCCAAATCTATGTACCTTGTGCCCTACGCATACGCTCGGTTGTTGTAACAAGGAAAGGTAACTTTAGCGTCTTGAGATCTTGTTGCACTTCAACGGATACAACAGACAACCAAAATGAAAGGGGGTTCGGGGCATCTGTAATCTTGGAAGCACAGCTAGCTTCAGTCGTGCAACCAGTCCATGTCCGTTGTTACGTCGTCACTTACTTCCACGTCGCACCTGTCGCTGTGGAACGCTCGGTATATACTCTTTCGTATCCACCTCACTTCTACTCCAACCTTACTCTCAGTTTGCCCGTGGTGAAAACGTAGTCAAAATTCCTGTGCATCATTAAACTATGAGTACATGAAGGATCCCAATGAAAAACGATTACAAGAGAGATCAGTTTCACGACACGCACACATGAGCTACGGAATATCGCGAAAGACTTTCCCTTCACTCTGGAGCACGCATCCTCATTTTCATTCGGATCCTTGTTTATAATCGAGTAATACAAGTACAGAGTTTGGCTCGGTGCAATGATGCTTTCGATAACACATGTGAATAACCTTATGAATCTAACGGTGTTAGCGTCGCGTTCAGCAGAGAGACCGCTCTTCCTCAGCGAGGGAACGAGCCGCCTCGAGGGTTCACAACATAGCGTTTACTTCTCGTCGCACAGGGCCTCGTTCGACGGACCGAACGAACCTGGGGAAATACGCGTGCAACGGAGGCGCCCGAGGGGAGTTGAGAGAGAACCCGTGAAGCGTACACGACGCGGCTCCCCGCTGACCGAGAAGACGGTACACTCGTGCCGTGGCGAATGTCGGTTCCTCACCTTCGTGCCTTTCGCGTTTGTGCTTTTTGTGCTTCTTCGAGCCCATTTCTCGCGCGTGTGGCCACAGCCCCGTGAAATGGAACAACCGTCGACCACCCGGTGCACTACCTGCCAGAGCGCTCGGCGAGAGTACCGCGCTCCGTTGCGTATACAGGTAACACAGCGGCGGCCATTACCGACAACACGAATTTCCGTCCGCGCATGCGCCGCGCTCGCAGCGCCGGAACGCCGTTCAGCGTCATGGCGTGTGTTCCGCCGCGCGGTTCGAACGAGTCAGTGCGAGTATCGTGTCCGGATTTCTCGGGGGGCTCGCGGAAGATCTGAGATCAACGCCGCGCGCTCGTTGCCGGCGACATCCCCCGGGGAAGTGGTGACGGCCGCGCGAACACGAGCGGACGTTCAAATCCGTACGAGGAGAGTCGGGGACATGGCGGCCACGGGTAGGATGCATCGTACGTTGCTTTCGGCCGACAAAGTTTCACCGGTAAGTGGACGACGATGCGCGCGATTTGTACGACCGATCGACCGTCGTTCGGACGTTTCGGGCACGAAAGCGCCCGACGCGGGGAACGCGGAATCGCGAGCGAAGGATCGCGGGTACGAGAAAATGCCTACGGGAAATTTCGACGGTTTAACGTCGTAACGGCCGGGCGGCCATTGCGCGTCCATTCGCGCGCGGACGAGAAAAGCCCTTCCTAACCTACAAAGGTCGTACCGGCGCTCCCGACGAAGCGGCTGCGTTCGAATGCGATGGAGCACCGTTCGCATTCGCCGATCGCGACTTGCGGACGTTGAATTCGAGGTGGCTCGGCCATCCTGAGTGACTCACCTTGTACGACGACGGCGGCTCGACGACGCGATTAAAGGGACAGCGATCAGCTGTTTCCCGGTTGAAATGCCGCGAGACAAACGGATAGAGGGAGGGAAAGAGAGAGTGAGCGAACGAGCCGGCGTGTGAGAGGGAGGGGCGAGACGAAACGCCGCGTTCCTGCAGCTTCGAAAAAACAAAAAAAAAGATACCGGCGCACCGCACGCGTTCTCGGTACTGCACTCGATCCGCACGTAATCTTCCGTTACGTCGGTGTTACTCCCGTCGACGAAATCATCGTCGCGGAATGCGAGATGATAAACGTCGAGCGATAAACAGAACGTCCGGCAGAACGTCCCGACCCGTAGCCGCGAAGAATAAATAAATTCTTGACGCGCTCCACCGCTATTTCGACGAGCATGTGCGACGAGCACTCGGAGACTCTTGTATTTTATTCTTTCAGAGACGATTACAAATGTTTCAAACATAATGTAGTTGAAATATTTTTCTCAATTACTGGACAATTTTTCGTTGCCAAATTTCATTTTGCAAGTGTTCCGCTAGGATGATTCGTCGAATATACATATCGTTATTGTTTTGCCGAAATGTCATTTAGAAATTAATTGGACAATCATCAATATTTTATACAAATAGTCAATATTTTTATCTACATATATCTTCAGAAATTTATTGTAGCATCACAAGATTCATGCGATATTTCGTCATATAATGTTTTCCTATTGGAAGTGAATAAGCACGTGTCTCGTTTCGCATAGGTGATCATCGAGGCCCGGAAATTTACTGTCTTTTACCACCAATTTAATAATGCGGCGTAATATCGTCGACGATAATCACATACATTCGACGAGACGGACAGCGCGACTTTTAGAAACACTCCGAGAAATGTTTCTCGAAATATCATTTTGTTTTGCTCGAAAGAACGTGTTGCATAATGAAAGACGTTTTTTACGCGACCATTTCGCGACAATTTTGAGAAAAAACGGCGACACGTCGGATATTTTTCCGTAAGAGCGCTGCTCCGAAATGTGCGATTAGATACTTCTTTTTACTCCCGGCGACACGCTGTGCAACGTTGCAAGACATCGTAACGCGAATTGCGCTCATGTAACCCTGAAATTACGCGTTTTTGTTATGTGCCCCTACGTATATATGCGCGCACTTTAACGAAGTGTGCGATGTGCAGCACGATCTCGTTAATTACGTCGCTGGGTGCACACACATGGATGCGCATTGTGGCAATAATCTGTATACCTTATTAGAGATATCTGCCGGTAACACACTTGAGGTAATTAGCCCGTCAAACCATTTTCTCATGAATCTTTTTAAATTTTAGCCGCGCTTTAATGGAAATACTATCTACACGTTTGTAAAGTTAAAAAAAACGACTGATCAATCGAAAGCTAAGATATTCGCAACTAATTGCTTGATGTTTCTAAAGATTTTTTATATCTATTTCTTGAGGCCTATTTTTTTCAACTTCTATATTTTAAATTTCTTCGAAACCATGTTAGAATTTTAATGAAAAAGTACTTATTATTTGACCTTTTTTTTTGTTTTGAAAATATAGCCATAAGAGATTTACAATTTGTAGTAATATAGTTTTGAAGTAATGTAATTTCGATATAGTTTTGAAGCTTACAACGCGTTTTCGATTTTCCCCGCTATGTTATATTTAACATGAATAACGAGCTGAAATATTAATACAGAACAATGGCATGGCAATGCCTGATTTCGAGGAGCGACATGGTCTGCGATAAGAACAAGCCGATATTACGGACGTGCTTTGCAACAATGTGCAGCGACTATTCGTCACAGATAATTACGATAATGCATAAACTCACCTTCCAAGTCAATTACTCCAGTCCTTATGTTTCTCTTTCTGCGCTCGGGATTTTCACTGTTTCACACGCGTTTTTTCGTTGCGTCATATCTCCCCACTGCTTCTCTTTCTCCTGATATTTTTTGTCACGTCATCATTGTCTACATTTTCCTGTTTTTCTGACTTCCGACCTCTATTTGCTTAAAATAACATGACTCATGAAAATTACTCATACTTTGTATATTATTATGCTATTACCCGTATTATATCTAATTTAATGTCCTTTTATTTAACTCAATGTTGAGTTAATCAAAAAAAATTTTGTGCTCACATCGACGATAATATACTAATGCTGCGCAAAACTGTTAGCGAATGATTAATCGATCACGAATAACGTCGAAATGACATTTGCTCAGTCGGATGAATAATTTATATCCACTGAATGCAACAAAATTAAATTTGATTAAAAAGTCGAAACGAGCTTATCGGACAACTCAACGCGTTTTGGAACAAAAAATTCATTTCTATATTTAAATATTTATATTTTCGTCAGATCAATATCTTTCCTTTCTACGAGGAACATCCGCGAAATACCATTCTTCTATTTTAACGAAACTTAGATACATATCTTTAGATGTTAAAAGGTATATAAATGTAATGTTAAATTAACACACTCACCTTGTCAGCATATGTTGTTAACATGTGTTTTTAACATTATATTCCTATACTTTCTAACATATTCCATGTTAGAGTAACACAAAATCATACCATCCTTTCCGCTCGCCGTCTTTATCCGACTTGTCACGATTTTCTTTCTCCTCGCATTTTCCCGCTTTCCTCTCGCTTGCCCTCCCACAACTTTCGCTCTTTCTATCCACGCTCCGTGAACGAAGACATAGACGCGCGGCACCCTCCGTTTTCGTCGGGCTCGTATCACCGTTCCTTCTCCAGTCACTGCCCTTATCCCCACTTCCGATCGTCTAGCGTGGAAAGCGAGATATAGCGCCGTCCAGCGGAGCGGGCTCGCAACGACGCGCCGCGCGGCCTACGCGCACAGTAGCGTTCCGTAATTTCGAGTCGCCGAATGGGGAATACGCAAGCGGGTCGCGACGCGCGAACGTTCGCTCACATCGAGTGTCGTCTGATTTGAAAGCGCGTTCGTGATATCGTCCTCTTTCCCCTTCCTTTCTCTCTCTACCCCGTTCTCACACGCCGTCCGTCGGAAGGAAAAGCGGAGTCCGTACGAGGATGGAGAGGTTCCGAGTGACGCCGGCGAGCAACGCCGCGCACTACACGCAGCAACAATCGCCGTCGCCGGTGCGCGATTACGGTGAGTGTTGTTTTGCCTGCGTCCGTCGCGATTGCGCCCGGTGTACCGTCGCGAGGGAAGCCTGCCGCACGTGCTGCGCGCGCGTATGCGTACTTTCAACGGCACCCATGTGTGCGCTTGACACCGGTCTCGAGGAAAATACACGAGACTCTCACCATGTTTTTTTTGTGGCGCGCGGCTGGCTCGCGTCGTCCGCGGAGCACCGAGGCGGTGACGGATGCGCCGCATGGCCGTCGAAACCCCAGCGCCACGTGATTCCCTCGCGCGTCGTTCGCGGAGACGGGGTGGACGCTCAGGGAGGATCCTTGCGAACGAAAACGACGGCGCTCTCGTCTCGTCCGGGTAGCCGCGAATTAGTAACTTCGATTGAGCAACGATGGGTCTCCCTGTATTTTCTTCTCGTCGAATAACTTTGGACTCGGATAGGTGTGGAATTCCGAGCGACACGACTCGAGTGATACATTTTTTAGGACGTACGTATTCAACGTTATCGTTAGCGTTATCGTTGGAAGGTACTAGTAGGCGTCGATGGGCATCTTCGAACGCTCATGGGATTTTTAATGTGCGTTGAAATAGGAAGGATCGTCATGTGTATTACTGCGGGACGAGATCATTTATTTGATGTAACAAACGCAATTGTGTGTGACGTCTTGATGAAACGTTCACGAAAATTTCATGAAAGTATTGTTAGTTGTATTTATTCGTATTGATTTATTTACAAAATCATTCCTTTGGTGCATCGATCAAATTATGTTATGTATTTAACATCAAGCTACCCGAAAAACAATTTTCCATATATAATTATATAATTGGATATGATTATATATAAATATATATATATATATTTATTTATTTATTTATATGCATATAATTATATATGAAAACTTTTTCCGGGGCATATTTATTGTTTGCCTCGCTACGTGTTTATTTATTGCTCGATTATTTTTATCCGATTGTCGAGTCGAGCTAATTGGGCATACAAAAATATACAAATCACCGTTTGAATTTTTGTTTTTATCTCCGTGTATGTTTCTTTTATCGACTTTCCACATTCAAAATACATATTTTACGATAACGAGAACCAACTAATAACGCAGCATCAATCACGTGCCGATAGTTTATCGGCATAACCGGAGTTCTCGTCGGAAGTAGCGTTATAATAAAAACCCGCATCCAATTAGTTCCAAC